GTAAAGCCTGTTGTGGAAGGCAGGCAGGATCGGTCCGCCCTGCTTTGATCTGCACCTGCCGTCTGAGGTAAAAGGGTGAATACATAACGCTGGAAGGCCGGATCTCGTCGTCCCAACGACACTACAACTACCGGAATAGGAAACATGGAGCGGGACCACCCAAGACCCAAAGGTTGTCTTCAGGCCTGGCGATGATTCCTGCCACCTGCGTTGTGCACTGGCTCACTGACATAGTCTGTAGGGCGAAGGGCGGTCCAAGATACCGAAATGGATAGAATTTGTGACTAACGTTTACAATCATCATATAGCCTCAAACCAAGGAATCCTTCAATCTGTTGTTAGTATCAGTAAGGTATCATCATCATGTCTCTAACGCTGCTGCTGGGCACGAGAACGACGCGAGGGTACCCACGCTCGACCGAAGAACGCTATAGTATCTGGATCATTTGTCGCAGTGAAGCCGGAATTGAAATAGTCAGCAATGACGTGCAGAAGAGCCTCCGTTCTAGAACGCGGGTGCTAATATATAACGAGCTCTGCTCTATAAACGTTGACGATATGAGTCGAACCGAGGTACTTGATGACAATGAAAATACTAGGGCTGAAACGACGGCGACGCCCATTTGAGATAGCGAAGTAACAGTCAGTAAGGTTCACATCCGCTGGACAGCTGGCTATCCATTCGGGGACAGATGAGGGCACAATAGTTCCCGGATTCTACAACTCGGTGGATGCGGTGGGCTGTACGCTGCGTGTCTCTGTGCCGTGCTACCTACTACTTATCCCCGATACCTCTGTCCCGCGGCTCGACTTGCAGCCCTCCCTCCTTCTAAGAACGTAGCTGGCAAGGATTTCAATCGAGGAGCTTTAAGAGACTCCAGGTTACGGGGCGCCTATTTCGGCTGCTGATGATATGACCTAGTGCGACCCAGCATGCCACCACCTCGGTCTTTTTACGGCCGGCATGCTCCTCCGCTTCGCGAGACCACTGCTGATCTAGAATTTGCTGACTACTGGCTTGGTAGATGTTCTGCGGAGCATCAATGAACCCGTAGGGATACTCGCCTCCCTCGGCGCGGACCCGCATTGAGGGTGGGCCGCGAGCGAGCGTGGGGAACGACGCTGATTTGTTTATGCGTGAACGTTGGGAACGGCCGTGGCAATCTTATATCGACTTTCTTGCCGGGCTTCCGTGGCACGGTGATCCCTTTGTCCGCCATGAACTGCCTGCACCCCCACGTTAGGCGACCCTCTTGGTTGACGACTTCACCGCCACCGCAAGGGTTTTGAGCTGTTTAATGAGCCCGTTAGCACGACGTCACCCATATAACATACATACAGCAGGATAGGCACAAACTCACGGCCTATAACGCCTGTCTGGCCCCCTTTACCGTAGGCAACAACGCGGATGGAGCGCGGGTGATTGTGGGCTCGCTGGGAGGTATCGCTGTCTAAATAGTACTTGGGAGGCGTTAGATAGAGGAGTTGGTAATTAGCGCCTTGGTCTATGGGAAGGACCTGGCAGCAGAAGGGGCAGGACTTACCTGGTGAACAGCGAAAATCTCCGCACAGCCGGCCTCGGTTCGATGCTTCTTGTTTACTGGGACCTTCTTTTGGCTCTGTAGTCTGGCTTGGCACCGGTCAAGGGCAGCGACGACTCGTGGTTTGGAATGCTGGGGTGCGAGGCTGTACAGAGAAGGGCCGCTTCCCTTCAAACTGGACGAGATGAAGACGTCCTTCTCGACGGCCATAACGGCCATCATAGCGGGCTGCTCCTGTGGCCCAACGCGATCAGCATTAAACTTGGTCTGCATTTGGCTATAAGCCAAGTGAGCAAGCTCATAGAGTTGGTCATTGCTAAAGAGCGTTACAGTATCTTGGGTGAAGGTGAGCTTAGAGGAGTAAACGATTTGTTGTGCTTTGTCTCGGGCATGTGTGTCAAGGTTCAGGCCGAGATCCTGAGCTGCGATACTCTGGAGGAGAGCAAAGAGCACAAGTATACTGGACAGCCTAACCGCCCAGCCCCAAGATGCAAGAGTCCACATTTCGAAAGACGACTGGTAGTAGGTAGACAGCAGTTTAAGAAACCCGCTGTGTCGCTTACCGGGGAGCGGGCGGTTTAGGAATACGTCGGTGCAAAGCAGGATGGAAGCCGTGCGCAATAAGTAGCCATGTCCGGTCGAAGAGGCTGAAAATCTCTCGGTGGCTATTCCCGAGACTGCGAAAAGATCCCGCGCGGCAGAGCCGAGAGGGCCACCCCAATCGCGCGGTAGCACAAAAGACGGGTCCAACCCGCCCTCCGGCTTGAGCAGTCACTTGCTCTGTAGGTGTGGATACTAACAGCGATACGGACCTGACGGCCTGGGCGCTCAGGCCGCATGGAGAATGCTGGTCAACATCCATGGCCAATGACACGTAGTTAATTTACTCGTCCACGTTACCGGCTATGACTTAACGGGCGTCGCTGAGGCCGCGGATGGTATAGCAGGCAGGCAAAGTTTCAGAAGGTCTCTCAGGATGCGGTCTGGTGCCTTGCAGATCGCTTTCCGCAGGCCGGGAGCGGGCCAAGGGCAGACTACCTTGCTAGGAGAACGACGTTGCTAACGAGATCTTCGTTCATAAACCAGTTCTCTGTATCCGGCCATCTAGACAAACGTTTCCTGTTACCGTAAAGGTCTAGATCCAAGGTTAAGGTAGGGTGTGCGCAACCGCTAGGGTTCCCCGTTAAGTGAGGATCGGTAGCAGTTGATAACGAATGTTCGACCTCTACTGTGAAGAGCGAGGCAATCGGGTGTCATTGCTGCGAGATGGTAGCGAAGCCATAGAAAGAGAAAGTGCAGGGGTGTTACAACGGCCGGTGGGAGAGAGGATGCGAAAGCAGCTGTTGGGCTCTGCGGTTGAAGGCGATTGGCCTTGTCGGGATGGTCACTGGTCTAGGTTGATGGTTTCTAGGTGCTGGGAGTGCATATAATAGACGCCAGGGCAGACAGACAAAAGTTAGACAGAGCATCTAATGAAGATGCACCTCATCATCTACGTATCCTGTCAACTTCGGTTGGCTTCTTAAACCCTATCCCTTTGTTCCTTGTCCGCAGCACTTAGAGAGGCCTCTATAGGTAGAGCCATTTAGCTATCCGGCATGGCTTGCTGTTGAGCAAACGGTGCAGGTTTTATTGGTCCCGGACACTCGTACTAGCATCTTGCTCCCCTGGCCGTCGAGCCGGTCGGGCCGGCCGAAGCTACTGGGGAGCTACTTCCACTACCGGAGATGCATAGTGCAGAACAGGGGTTAACAGGCCTGAAGGCATCGTCATCAGGGCTTTTTTTCTGTGCTGGAGTTGGGCATAGCAAGGGGGTCCGAAAACTTCGCAAAAACGAGCAGGGTGCGACCCACTAGGCCTGCCGATTACTAAGCTACATTACAGGTAGAAGTTTTTGTTAGATTGGCAGTAGTAAAAGGAATAGTGATGTGTATTCTGGTTTTTTTTTTTTTTTCTTCCAACTCTTCCATAATAGAAGATCTTCTACTATTTATGTCCAGAGTGAGGGCTTTTTCCTTTATCAATAGAGTTTGGCATAACCATAGAAAACTCTTCTCAACTCCTCTCAAGGTCGCTTAGTGGCGGACACCTTTCATAGCGACTGACACCTCTCAAGGTTATCATGCCCAATTTGACAGTTTTATTGTGGGTGGTTCTTGTAGATTTTACCCTCTAAATACTTATTTTCAACAGACTTAAAACAGTATAGTGGCTTGGATGTTATAGTCGCCACTAAGAAAAACAGTACTATTTATATTTTCTTTCCCTCCTGCTATAATGCACTGCATCTTAGATCTTTAAGAATAAGATGTTTCTAATGGTTTGTTTCTGTGTATATTATTAAGTTAGCAGTGAAATACAATCAGAATACTAGCGGAACCTGTGTTTGATAATACTTAACATACTCCTTTTAGGCTGGTGCATAAGATCATATCGTCCAGTGGAGATCTCAGATTTAGGTGCGCAGGGCAAGATTTGGGGGATGGTTGACGGGCCACTATAGGTAGCCTCAACGACTCGTAAGGAATAATAGCCCGCTCCTTGGGGAGGACAAAGGGCGTAGTGGGGCCTGTAATCAGCGTGCACGTGCGCCGGCGCTCGCTGAAGCCAAGCTCGCGACGCAAATAGCTTTCCCGAAAACAGGGAATGAAAAGATTTGTGGGCCCCGTCGATGCGTGATGAGAGATGTGAGTACGTTGGGCTGAGCCCTGCAAAGGCGGGCGCGTGAATGGGGCCATCTCCGAGAATGAGGATGATGATGATTTCCCCCAAGGTCGATAACCAGTTTCCCAATGCCCAAGGGCTTGGTCTTGCCTTTTTATATAGGCATGTTGCTGTCCGCGCGCCTGGTAAGTAGGGGACCAGAATAACAACTTCGTATATAGCTATATGCGAAGTTGGGTAACTGCTTAGTATTGCCTGCTTGCCCCATTCAGCTGGTGTCTGGTCTTTGAAGATACCGCATAAAGTATGCGCTACTACTCCCTGCTTCTTTGTGGCGGAACCCTTTTAAAAAGATGAATTACCCCCAGCAGACCCGCCTTGAGTTGATTGCGCCTGTTAGGTCATAGGAATGATGTGACTTGCGCGAGTGGGACACATACTGCAGTCTTTCAAGCTAGACCATCACACTAAGCTGAATGTGTTCTTACCTACTATCCACAGGAGTGGAAGCTCCAAAGGCGCGTGGTTGGGGTCACTGATACTAACCCTGTATAACCCAAAGAAGCACATAACGATATGTCGGCTTCACCGCATACAAGCGAGAATCTCTTGCCCACAGCCATTGCTCATCACGCTGAGCAACCTAAATGCAATCTATAAAGCCCACAGTCAGGCATATTCGTTTCCAGGTCAGTAGGACGAACTGTATTGCTTGCTTTATCATTCCTCCACCCGAGTATCAGCGCCCAACACCCACTCACCCAAGCGAGAAGTCCCAGCACTTTCATCTTCAACATGCGGAAAGTCATCTCCATCTTGTTCGTTGCGTTGAACTTCTCCCATGTCTTTGGCGTGTTAACTCCTTCCGAACGCGGCCTTCTCGCCTCTTATGACAAGCGAGCGCTGACGTCCTGGGTCTCTATGACTAAAGGAAGCGACTGGCCATGCTCATCATCGCAACTCAAAGATATTGAGAAGTCAGTTGAGCACGCGAAGATCTTAGCCAACGGAGCCATAGTGGCCTTGGACAATGCTGGGACAACATCGAAGGCCTATACGAGATGGTTTGGCAGTACGTCAACAACTTCATTTCATTATTCACACGTCTTGCTACTGACGGTGAAGTCGGGCTCCTATGCCTCTTGCGTCTGGCGTCTATTTATGGAGTCGAGTGCTGACTGTGATACTGATAGGAACCAATGCTAATAAAGCCCAGCTTTCTACGATCAAGACCAGCCACTTCGGGGCACCAAACAGATTCCTGCAGATGCCGTCAAGCACCGTCAAGTCATACGATGAAGGCGGTCCGAGCCCACAACGACTGGTCTATGCATGCCCCCCTAAGGACTTTCCCTTGTGCAACGGCGGGGTGGCGGCTGCTGCCATCAATGCCGGCGACCAAGTATTCAAAACCAACATCCTCCTCGCCTGCCCTTCCTTTTTCAAGAAAGCCAGCAATTCGCAAATGCTTTCGAACTGGCGGAAGGGAAAATACACGCCATCTTCGGGGATGATATTGCTGCACGAGACGCAGCATCTCGACGCTATTGTCGGCAAGGGCAAGCGCTGTATTGACCTGGCATATCCAGTGGAGGAGTAAGTCTTTCCCTCCTATATCCGATGATACCTGATTCGAAACCACGAGAGATTTGCAAATGCTAAACACGAAACGTCAGCTGCGAGAAGCTTACAGATAAGGACAAGATCAGGAACGCCCAAAACTATGCGTTCTTCGCCCTAGACGTCACGGCGATCCCGCCTAAACGGAAGTAGGGCGGTTCTGATATTGAAACGACCGGCGACAAGGGAGAGAGCATTCGAGATGGGGGTGGCATCGATTATTGAACCCTTCTTGATAATATCTATTCTATATTGCGGGTTGATAACTCGGACTTGACGATGTCTCCACATCCAGAGGCTCCGTGACTTGGAGAGGTGGCGGTAGATAAGGTCATCACTTGCTGTCCGGTAGTCTCAGTAGTGGCAGGCATGGCCGCGGGTGACCATCAGCGCTTCATGGGGTGGGAGGCCATCGGGATGAGGGGGAGGACGTCGCTCGGGTCCCCCAGTGGTATGGACTTCAGCAGCGCGGGACGGCCGACGGCCTTGCGGCTTGGGCATGTGGTGTTTCTCGGCTGGATGCCGGCTTACGCGTTCCACGAACGGCTTTAAGGCGTAGCCGCAAGGCCGGTAGATGAGCACCGGCTCGGCCTAATTTAATTGCAGGTGCAAAGCTCCTAGTTGCTGCCGTTGTTTGTCCATCAAGCGGTGCGGTGTCATGGGCTCGGGCGGCGGCGACAACAGCAAAAGGGGGATTAGGAGAGACGTGTCCGCTACTCTTCAATGTAACCTTTTCTCCTGAATAGAGGTGTAATAGCAAATGGTCTTTTGTCCCTTCTTCTTCTCATACTTCGCTTCCCTAGAAACGGTTTGGTTTTCTCTCACTTTTCGTCCTTGACTTCCCTATCCTTCCTTTTCCTTCTTCTTCTTCCTTTTTGCTTCCCTAAGGTATAGATAGGAGTTCAATTTAGATGTGATGTTAGGTGTCCTTGGGGTAATTGCCCCTGTTGGAATGCTAAGACGACCTGGATATCCATAAGCAAATCAAGCTCGTCGGACTGGACGCATCAGCTATCTAACCAGATAAAAGTGGTCTTGATGGGTCCCTATGTAGTTGCCTCAGTCCGACTGAGCGTTAGTGGTTCTCATACTATCATGACCTCCCCGACTATTGGTTTTCTCTGGGATTGCCTCCGCGTAGGGAGTGCCCCAGAATAGCCTCGGAGACGCCGTTGAGCATGGGTGCAAGGACATCTGGGAGATTGGCCCTTTGACGTGGAATACGACTGAGCGCGTACACCGAACCTGAGCAAAACCCAGTCTCTTTATGTAGAGCACCAGTGTCTTGCGGGCTTACCAACGGTCGGCTTGTTTATTTAAAGCTGAGTTATATCTCGTCTGGTTATGCTACAGTCCAGCCCCAAACTCCAACCGCCAAGCTCTCGTTATGATCGGTCTCCGTCATTATTTCGTACTTGCCATCTCGCTCCTAGGAGTGTTTGCCGGTCTCTGAGAGGATCACGGCTACACTGTCGAGCACACTAATGGCGTATACTACGTCAAATCTAGTCATTATACTAGTGGCAGCTCTCCACTGGATAAGGTCGGCATCAGCACTAATAAGAAGACGATGACCGTCTATCTTGCGTACAATGGATTAGAGAGCAACCATCGGAAGAAGTTGAGACTGTCGCAGGTTCTCGCGGCGCTATGCGAAAAGAAGTCTGTCGATCCGGACGATATAGAGCTAGTGATCATCGATGATGTCGAGAACGCTGAAACAAAAGCGGCCATGAAGAAATACCGCGATAAACACAAACTTTGCTTTAAGGACGAAATCCGGATTACCCCCAACCATCAAACAGATTGGGCTATCTTCAGCGGCACACCCTTTTATAAGGCAGTGGGCCAGATGTTACGGAGTAAAGGTATAACTCAAATCGTCGTCAAGAAGGAAAACGGCAACCAGAACGTATACTTCTCTATTGGGTAGAGGACCAAGGTAAGTAAGACTTCGTTCCAGGAAGCTTCAAGTCTTGCCTCGCCTTAGAATATGAATCTGACCTTTGTAAGTAGCGGAAGACAGCGATTTCAGTGTTTGGGGTTATTTGAGATAAGGCAGGTCCAGGACATTATGTGGAAGTGTATGTAGACAGGCTGTGGGGTGATGTACTTCCATCGTGACTGAGACGATAGAGGAGGAAGATGCGCGACACGTCTGTTGATATCCCGGGCCAAGGGCGGAGACTCGGAGTCAATTGGGCATTCATAGAATAGCTCAAGGGGGTCTGTAGTATAAGAGTAAAGTAGTATATTAACGACCTACCCGGTTGCGCAGTCTCCTGGGGCTTGTAGTTAGTTGTCTGCCTGACAGCAATTGCGGATGCTGTAGTTGGGAGAGTCACATACACGCTTCTAAGGGGCCATCGCAACGTCTGACGCCCACCTCTGGAAACACCCTGTTCTAGTAACCCGACCGTCACGGCCCGCCATCTAAGCGTACATTCCACTAACGGGAGTCCAGAGTCACTGCTGTGGACCAAATATTGTACCATGGTTCTACGTCCCCACTATACTGAGCCTAACAGGTGATGTCTTCTCAAAGGTTGAGTTAATCAGTCTCAGACTCTGTAACCAACGGTGTGCGTGGTGAAGATAAGCTTAAAATGGCCCAAATAACGGTTAGAGAGTGAATGGCCAAAGAGCTACGGGTGTCTGCTTATAAGCCAGGCTTAGGTCATACTATGTCAGTCATGAACAGTCCCTCTGACCAATAATCCTGTTACTAGGTTATCACTTGGGTACAGGAGGCGAGCACTAAGAACCTGCAGCGTCATGGTGGCCTTCAGTGTAGTCCTTCTGTTCTAAGTGAGTGCCTGTTATTCACACCGATCCTAAAAGTTGAGTGACCCGTTATAAGCTGCCCAGCGTCAGCGTGGGGCGGTCGATCGCTATCCTTTGCTGTCCTTGCAGTCAGGTTTAGTACTGGGTCACAAGTGGAATCGTTGGCTACTGGCAAGCCGAATCTCGTTATATGCGCAAAATCTACGCGTGGGGTTGTAGGTTGTCTCGTACTCGAAAGACTGCGAGCTGTATTTGTGCCTGTCTTAGAGACCAATAAGACCGATCTTGATGTTCTTTTTCTTGCAAGACACGGAGTTTCTTGGGAACGACGGCGCTACTCTTAGTAGCGCTACTAGCTCTATATATAGTCAGGTCAATAACTCCAGAAGTCAAGCTCGTCATAAAGTTAAATACAGTATGCGGCGGTATTGCTTGACGGCCTGCGCTTTGCTTGAAATGGGCAGCAACAATCTTCCCTTTAATAGTACCGTGTGGAATTAGCTGACTGTAACACATCGTCGGGACGGCTAGAGATGGATTGAGTCTTCCGGGCACCACTACCGTCACTTTGTCAACTGGGTAGGCGTTTTTTTTTTTTCTTTTTTCTTTCTTTCTTTGTTTTTTTTCCCTCTTTCTTTTCTTCTTTAGTCTCTCCCAGGCCTTACAGGAGGTACCGTTTGCGCTGCAGCCGATTCAAGTCCAACAATGGCTGGAAATATTAGAACTTCGAGGTCGAAGGTACCAAGTGTACACCAGAGAGAGCATCTAACGTCAGAGGACGTGTAGAGAAGGTGAAAGGATATGTGTTGTCGAGGGGAACGGTCTGTGCCAACGTTAGGTGATTGCATGCTAGTCAAGTGGAGAGAATGAGGAAGGGTGGTAGGGGTTGAAGTAGGCGGCACATATTAAAGGGAAGGAATGAGGTGAAGCGGAAAGTTACGCTACGGTCGAGACCGAGTAGGCAGGAACATGTCAAGCCATGTTAGGGTCAATCTATTCTGATGAAATATCCTGTCACAGCTGCCTAATACCTAAGTGGGTCGGCTCACTGTTATCCTTACTGCGTATGTGCGGTCTGTTGGGTTAGCCTCTTCAGTCCTTCCGTAGTCATAGACGCAGTGAAAATGCTGCGGCCTCCAAATTCGGCCCCTTGTCGCTACCAGGCTTCTGCATCGTTAGCCTGTCGCAGTACTGCGCTTATTAGCTCCGTTCGCAGGTTGGGTAACATGGCTATACCAGGAGTCTGCCAGTTCATCGGCGTAGCCGATGAGGGATCCACCTTCGGCTTCTCATGTGTCCGTGGCAGAGTCGCCGACGGCTGAGTACTATCTGAACCAACGATTGCTGCGCACTGAGAGTTCCTCGGATCATTATTATGAATCGATAACTAGGCAAGACAAGCTTATAAAACCCGAGGATTCGCGGCTACCTACACCGTTTCATTCCGCATCTACTTGCTATTGTCTCTCAACTTGCATCCCCTTGAACAGGATGAGGCTTTTGTATTTCCTCTCGTCCTGCATGGCCGAAGCTGGCCTTGCTGTGCCAAACCCCAACAATGCTATAACAGTCCGTTCACCAGGCGATATGGCAACAATAGGCAGCGTTGTCTACGACAAGGACGGAATCCTGTCCCGCGATTCGAGCGCAGCTTGGGCAGCGGCTGAGAGGGTTGTGGGCACTCTCCGCCAGCCACAACACACACTACTACTTCATGTCCTGTAATAAAGCATATCCTGGACAGAAGGGTATGACACCTAGTCAGCAGTATACCATCGATCAGACGGGCTGTCTTCACGTGGGTCTCATCGTTGGCAAGACCGCCTTTCGCCAGAACAAGTTTACAGCAAGCTACTTGCACGTAAGGCGCCTGGCAGATAACCCCAACACCTGGACTCAGACACGCCATGACTGGGATGAAGTCAAGCGTATGCAACGGTACGTCGTCTATTGGCTATGAATCATTAATGCGTGTTGTTGGAAAGGGACTGAACCCATGCTATCCAGTATTGATTATGGAGGTACTACAACCTCTTCTAAAGCCAACATTGATAGAGTCATTAGAAAAGGTATGTTGCCATCTTGCCGTGGATGAGCTATACTGACTGACCACGTCTGTAGGCGAAGAATGGATCACGCTCTCCAAGGGTAAATACGACAAGGAATGGAACTGCCTTGCGTACTACCGTTTCATGGCTTCTAAGCTGTAGAAAGGAATAGGACATGGCCCACGATCGCAATAGCACCTATTATCCTTTCAACCTAGCAATTTCCAAGGCTAGCCACATATTCAAGAGGACCAACGTGAGTGCGATAGAAAAAGTTAAGATCATGTTAGGTTTCAACGCCATAATGACCGGACCTGTTTC